ACAGGTAGTTGAATAATGGTTTCAAAACTCAACAGACGACAAGTTTCTTTTCTAGAAATATGACATGTCTTGACAACTTTATCATGTGTAACAAATCTTTTTTCCCTTGTGTTCTTTTCCGATTTTGGAGTGGACGCCGTGAGACTCAAACGTCAAAGCTAGACTGCTTGTGTCATTGTGTTGGGACAAGAATGCAGAGACCAGGCTGCTGGCGCTCAGCTCTGGGAGTGATGTGGGCACTGGGGTGGGTCAAGGGACAAACGCCGACTGTCCGTCAGAAGTGCTGCCTCGGCCCTAAATCGCCAGGGTTGCACAGGAGGAGCAGATGTGAGGGCTTGTAAACCCAGTGTACCATCGCTGCTCAGAGGGCGTTTTCTGTCAAATTTGGCAGTGATCGCAAGACTCTCAGCAGTGTCATGCCCTGTTTGAGGCTTCCCGACAGGGAAGGGACGTGGACAACCTACAGGGGTTCCAAAGACCGCCATTCAGTGCACCGAGGGCCAAGCACACAGCCAGGCTCTAGCACAGCCTCGCTCCGCGGCCGGGGTTTCAGAGAGGTGGAGTAATCTCACAGTCCTCAGAGAAGTCAGAGTTCACACCCAGGTCTGCCTGACTCCAGGTCCCTGATTTTAAACACCATCAACTGAAGAGCCTGCCTACACGGAGCAGGAAAGAACCTGGGATGATTCCATTTGGACCCAGAAACCTGAAAGGGGACACTGTCGACCTTCAAGGATGCGTTAAAGGCTTTGTGTACAGAGAGTGAAACGAGCTTCTTGTTCTCTTTCATTTTAGTAGAGACTTCAACCTAAATCTGCCATATGACTTAAACCCAGCCCAGAGTAACCATGTACTGCAACATTATGGACAGACGTACTAAGAGGGGTCTGTCTCCTGGGGGCACACGTCTGTCCTCCTGATCTGAAACCCCAGGCCTGCCATGATGCGTGGCACATACACAGTTTGTTGCTGAATGAACAGGTCCTTTAATCATTTTTTGGAGGCCTTTACCGTAGGATGGATGCTCATTGCTGTTGAATAGTTTAAGCGTGCTCTTACCTGGGCTTTACTGAGAGAGTCAGCAGAGTCTGGGACCCTCTCAGCAGTGTTTAACTGCTCCAACCAAGAACTGCTAGTTCTTTTTACATCTTTAGTCATGTATTGTGGAGTCAGGTTATAATTTCATCACACTGAGGAGTTTTAATCTGATTTATTTAGATATTTGTTAAAGTAACAATCACAGATTTTTAAGGCAATTACACAAATACACCTGGGAGTAATAAGCAAATCCACAACAGCACAAAACATGGTAACAGAGTAAGTATTAGTAGCTAGAGAAAGAAATCTAATTCAAAAGGTTTTAACTCACGGAATTACTCTGCATAATCTATTTCCAGCTATCAGCCTGAGAAGACCATAAAATAGTTTTGCTGCATCATCTGGTCAAATACCTTGTGTGAACACTCAGTTTTGGAGTGCTGACTCATGGGTATGTACAGCTGTCCTTGTGTGATAGTGGCGGGGTCAGCGTCTCTGAGGACTAGTGTGGCTCTGGCACCAGGGAACCGTGGTGGCCGCGTGTTTTCCCATCACCACTTCTCACGCTGTCTTCTTTTCCCACTTTAGGTCCTGAGTCCTACCCACAGCTTCACTTTTTGGGTCCAAGATGTGGTCTTGCTAAATTTCATTTTCAGTTCCTGCTGGATCAAAAATACACGTTGGAAACAAACACTTTCCTTAGGCAAGAACAGTAAGATACCAGTTTACTAGAATGCCTGGGAAATGGAGTCTCTAAATTCATTGACAATTCTACCTTATTTGGAATTGGTCATATAATTATTGAGCTTTATTGAGACATAATTTTATAACATAAAATTCACCCTTTTGAAGGGTATATTTCAGTGGTTTTGCAATATTCAGTTTGCACAATCATCACCAAATCCAATTTTAGAAGACTTTCATCAATGCCCCACCAAAAACACCACACTCAGCTATTCCTCCCCAATTCTCCTCCCCCCGGATCCTGGCAAACACTAATCTACTTTGCATCTCTAGGGCTGGCCTGTTCTGGACATTTCCTTCAAATGGAATCATATGTTGCGTGGCCTTTGGTGCCTGGCCTCTTTCACTGTTCATCATGTCTTCCATGTTTGTGCACAACGCAGCGCCTATCAGAACTTGGTTCCTTTTATGGCTGTGTGATATTCTTCTATGTGCTTACATCACATTTTGTTCATCTGTTCATCAGTTGATGGAACATCCTTGTGCAAGTTTTGTGTGGACATGTGTTTTTAATTCTCTTCGGTGTGTACCTAGCAGTGGGATTGTTAAGTCGTATGCTAATTTCTGTTTAACTCTTTGAGGAGCAGCCAGGCTGTTTTCCAAACTGGCTGCAGGACTTCACATCCCCAAGCAGAGCGTCCATCTCCACATCCCCCTTAATGCTTGTTATCTTCTGTCTTTTGATTCTGGCAGGGGTGCAGGGAGGTCTCATCGAGGTCTTGGCTTGCATATCCTAATAACATTGAGCATCTTCTCATGGGCTTCTTGGCTACTTGTACTTCTTGTTTGGAGAAATGTCTACTTAATTAATCAGAAATCTTTTGCTGTTTCAACTTTGTTGTTGAAAATCTTTCTAAAATAGGTCAAAGTATTTTACACTAAATCGGTGCTTCTGCGATTGCAGTCTGAACCAGTGGGCTTGTTGGTGCTGCATGGTGCTGGGCCTGCAGGACACACGCCAAATCCCAGCGTTTTTGTTTTTGTTTTTGTTTTTTCTCTTCTGTCCTCATCCCTCCCTGAAGGCTGTGCTGGAAACTGCCTGCAGATAGAGTCTGGTTGTCCAGGTATCTCAGGGAAAGAGGTGGAACAGGACTTCTTCCTTTGCTGCAGAATCGTTAAGACTTGGAAGAGAAGGGAACTGAGGCTCTTGACACCTCCTCCCTGGATGGTAACCACGTCCCTGAGCTTCCACAGTGTTTGTATCAGGGGGACCACAAAGCACAAATCAGTGTTTCATCTAAAATGCTAGGAGTTGAATTCGTACAGTTTTATTTGTTTGCACAATATAGTTAAGATATAATCAGACAAACAACCCATCAAAGGGTGGCCAATATGATCACAAAGATCCTCAAACTTATATATAGCTGAAGGGGTAAGTGGAAATGCCACCCCAATAAACACAGTGATGGAGTCCTATGGCTTCCAATCAGCCACATTAAAGTTTTTTTCTAGTGTCCTAAATGGCTAAAACCTTCGCAGAGAGCCTATTGGATTATCTTTCACCTTAAACTCTACACCTGAAGGATTACACCCCTGTTGGTGCTGAAGGCTTGACATGCAGTAGGCTCTTAGCCAACACACCCATGGTGGTGCAAGACTAGCTCAGTAATTAAACTCTTGATTCTGGTTACTGTGTGACAGTGTCACCCTGTCCTTGTGCAGTGCCCTCCGGTGAGAGCTGTAACAGCTTCTTCTGCTCTGTTGTTGTCCCCCATGCGCACACACCACACACTGAGACTGTGGAATCCTTGGGGTGGGTACTTGCCTTCAGGTACTACTTGCCCACTAGGAAGGGTTTTAGGTAAGCAGAATTTATGGTTGTATACGTGTTAAAGGCTCTGTCTTTACTTTAATTGTTTTTTTTAACCATTTGACTCTCTTCACCCATTTTCCCACCACCCACCCCTGCCTCCAACCACCACTCTGTTCTCTGTATCTGTGAGCTTGTTTTTCTTTTTTTAAAGATTTGACAGAGGAGTGAGATCAGACAGTATTTGTTTTTCTCTGTCTGAGTCTTCCACTTAGCAGAATGCCCTAGAGGTCCAGCTATGTTGTCACAAACAGCAAGATTTCATTCTTTTTATGACTGAACATCTATTTCACAATTTCTTTATCCGTTTGTCCATTGATGGGGACTTAGGTTGCTTCCATATCTTGGCTATTGTAAACAGTGCTGCTATGAACTTGGGGGTACAGATGTCTTTCGAGTTAGTAGAGATTTTTTGGCTAGTGTTTTTATTCTGTGTGGCAGATGAATATGTTAAAGAAGGAAAGAAAGAAGTAATATTTTATTGCTTGCCAAGTAAATAGTAGGCACTTTTATAGTAATTTTTGCAAACATTTAACCTGACATGAGTTCTGGGAACGGGTTCATCTCTCCCTACAAATGAGCGATGGAGGTTCACAGGGACCGAGAGAGCCTGGGGTGATACTCGGGTCCACGGGGTCCCATCACAGCCTCTGCACTGATGATGTCAGCAGTGCCCTGTTGCGTGTGTTTGCTCTGTTTCTGTCCCTTCTCGCGTGTGCAGGTTACTGGGCTTGGGGCACGAGGTTAGAGCAGCATAGTGAGCTGAGGCCCAGCAGCTCTGGGACGGCCACTGGGTTTTATGGCTGGTCTTGTAGAAACCCATCCGACTTTGGAGAAAAGTTACCAAATCAGTTAAATCGTTTCTCACTTTGGATTTAGGGGTAAATGAGTATGATTTGAGAAGGGTAAGGAGGATGAAGATTTGAAAACTTCCTTCAAAATATTTGCAAGTTGTTAACATTTAAACTGGCGGTGGGGGTGGGGGGAGCTTGAAGAGTTGCCTAGGAGAGCTGGGGTGCCACCCTTCCGCACCTTGAGAAATGTGCACAGTTCCCTTAGCAGACGCTGCTCTGGAAGAGAAGGAATCAGTGCTCTTTCTTTCCCAAGTCAGTGAGCTTCATATGTTCTAGAATTTTAAAGGTGAGTCGCATGTATCCTGTCTGTGCTGGGCCAGCAAAGGCCCCAGACCCCCTGACTGGACGGTGGGTGGGTGGGAGGCATCTGGTCTTCAGGAAGCTGCTCGGGAGGGGCTTACTGGGGCTTCCTTGGACCATCTTCCAACTTCCTGGCCCTATAAAACTGAGTTCCTTCCCCCCTAAACCTATCATTTTCAAACAGCTTGGTTTTGTCCTGCTGCCCCTGTTCCCGACTGGATGCTGAGTCCCTTACATTCCCAAGGCTGGAAGGCAGGGGTCTGTCAGGGAAAAACACAAGCAGACAGTTCACAGCAGGTCTTGCTGGTTCAAAGCTGTCACCCCAAGGGCAGGAAAGGGATTTTCGACTGAGGGATTCCATGGCTGGGTGTCGGTGCCTCACAGAAGCGGAGGCCCTGGGAACTGCAGGCAGGGCCTGGAGTCCACTTGTGAGAGAGCTGTGCTTGGATTTTGGCTCTGACCCTCAGATCACCATTCTGTCTTGGGATCCAGAGGTAGTGAGCTGGCCATACGCTTTCTGTGTCTGTCTTCTTGCAAAGGATAGGGCAGAGCAGTGACAGCCTCCCCGGGAGGCCCAGCGCTGGGACGTCTGCCTGCCCAGCTGCCTGGGTCTGGTCTTCGTCAGAACCGTGAGGGCCTCTCTGCCCGCCTCCTCCCCCAGCCTCCACTTAAACACTTAGCAAAGCTGGTGGCACTTCAAATGAAGTCTGAGGGCTGCAGGCTGCGGGAAACCCTATTTCTAGGAGCTTCTGTCTTCCCTCTCTTTGCTTTCCTTTATCTTAACATCTCCTTTTACTGTCGGGCTTCATCTGTTTCCTGTTTTGTAAAAGGGGAATTTCAAGAGAGTCAAAGTAAACAAATGAAGGATGGATTTGAAGCACAGTTTCCAAGGATTTTCTTCATTTGTTAAAGAAAACAATATAAATGTGAAAAAAGTAAGGAAACAAAAAGAAACAAAAAGCTAGAAATGCGAGCAAACAAGGTACTTATGTCAATAAATATAAATGGATAAAACAGGGGAAAAAAGTCTCTCAGGCTAGATTATAAAGCAAAATTACAGTGTTCTGCTTAAGGACACAAACCTAAAATAAAAAAACACAGAAATATCAAAAAGAAAATGATGCCAAAAAACAAATTAGATCGATATAAACCAAAGGAGGGCAGCAGAGGCAGCAGCAGGAACAAGCACGTGGAAGAGGGTCCAGGCCCCAGAGAGCCTGGTGAGGAGACACAGGGCGATGGCTCTCAGGGTGAGCCCCACTCCCTGACGGGCAGGACCTAGGAGAGGCCCTACATGGTGTGAGCCGCTGGGAACCTCTGGAAGGCAGTCTGTGTGAAGTATGAGGCATAGGAAAAGTTTTTTATATTGCAAACTGGTTTTTTAAGTAATAAATTTGGAGACTTTTAACTCTAACTTACGCAAGGTACAAAAACTCTGTGTTTATTAAATTCTATATTAATTAAAGAGTTAAAGCTAATTAATACAACTGTAAAAGAATTAAGGGAAAATATAGGAGCATATTTCTCCCATCTTAGCTTGAGACGGCAAGTACGGCCCAAGAATCAGATGCTGTAAGGGGAAACACAGGCAGACGTGACTTCCTGAAAGCGGACTCGGTGAAATGATAAGCAATAATGTGGGGAAATGCTGTGCCACTGACAATAGGAACAAGGTAGATACTGGAACTAAAGGAGACACAGCAGCAGGAAACTGCCCAACCGTGTGGACAGTCAGTCCTCAGAAGAAACCAGACGGACGAGGTGAGGGCAGGGCCGAGCGCGGGCGGAGCTGCACGTCATGGACACTGAGGAGGCCATTGCAGAATTCAGATGCGCGAACCTGTTGACTGAACAGTTTGCGGTCTAGGAATATAAGTTACAGAAACAATACGTGTAAAGATGAAGATGCGCTGGGATGCTCGTGGCAGTTTCATCTTGAATCATGAAGGACTGGAAACAGCTCAACATTGTATCATTGGAGGACTGATTAAATAAATTAGGGCACATTTGTACAAAAAAATACTTTGTAACTGCTGAAAAAGAATGGAGACCATCTTTATGTACTGACATGAAACTATTTCCACGATATATTATTGCATGAAATAAGCAACTTACAGAAAACCATGTAGGGTGTGACCCCGCTTTTGTTTAAGCAAGCAAATATGCATAAAGCATAGAAGTCCATGTTCACAAGCTGTTAGCAGTGACTGCTTCCAGGGAGTCCAGCCTAAGAGAGGCCCCGCCTTTTACTTACACACTCTGTACTGTTTGCTATTTTATTTCTTACAATAAATATATGTTAGTTTCATAATTAAAAATAAAGATTGGTAACAGAATGTTCAAGTTTCAATATAAATTGCAACCCAGATTTTCTGAGTGCCTCAGCACAGATACTGCGTTGTTCTGTTCTGTTTTTAACAAACTGAAGGTTTGGGGCAATCCTGCACAGGACGAGTCCAACAGCATATGCTCACTTCATGTCTCTGTGTCACATTTTGGCAATTCTCTCAGTATTTCGAATTTTTCATTATTATTATGTTTGTTAGGGTGATCTGTGATGTTACTACTATGGCTCAAGTGGTAGCTTTTTTTTTAGCAATAAACTATTTTTTAATTAAGATATGTTCAGTATTTTTAGACATAAATGCTACTGCACACTTAATAGACGACAGTACAGCGTAAACAGAACTTTCACATGTCCTGGGAAACCAAAAAATGTGCTACCTGCTTTCCTGTGATGTTCACTTTATTGAGGTGTCTGGAATGGAGCCCGAGACATCTCCAAGGTGTGCCTGTGATTAGTAACTGCCCATTAGCTTTGCATCTTTGCAAAGATAGTTGTTCTCTCCAGGCCTCAAGATTCTGTAAAAAATGTCCAAAGCACACAGGCAGGGAGGCTGGGGCTTCTCACACCCATACCAGCCGATGGGGAAAGGTGCTGCTGGCAGAGTCAAGGCCAGATGGCTTCAGAGGGTCGTGCACCTGGGGGAGGGGCCTGGGATGGGACTGGGGGCCTGGGTCATGCTGAGGGTGGGGGAGGCTTGGGGCCAGGAGTGTGTATCTAAAGGTTGATATCTACGCATTTTTCCCTCTGATGGACTAGATTTCCAGGGAAAGCAATTCCCTGAAATGTTCCACAACATGATGGCTGTATGTGCAGACAGGGGAGTGAGTGAAGATTTTATAACTCTTTAATCTGATTCACTGAAACATTCATAAACAGGATTATTAATGACAAAATTAAAGTATCATTTTCCTTCATTCAGAATTATGATTTTGCCAGCAACAAGGACAAAATGAAGAGGGAGAGTTTAGAGTTTAAATTATTTGGCAAACTCTTTCAAATTATTAATTATATTTGCCTTTCTGGATGCAGTGTCACAGTTATTTCAGGACTGTCACTTCATTTCCTAACGAGGCTTTGTGCAAACTGTCCTGCTAAGTTACTATTTTTCATGAACTCTTTCTCCTACAACCTATAATCAATCAGCTGAGTAGATTTTTCTCTCTCTCACTTCCTCTCTCTCTCTTCCTCTCTCTCTCTCTGTATGTATATGTATATATTTGGTGAGGAAATAGTGGGTGAATTCATCAGCTGAGTCAATGTTCTGTGTCTTCTATTATTAGGATGTGGCCACTTGGCTTATGCTTGCTGACAATGAAATAAAATGCCGTCAAACAGCAGAGAATCAGTGAGTCGATGCGTTTGCCGAATCTGATGAAGGGAGTGGAAATTTCCAACAGCTATGGCTTTAACAAGAAAAAGGAACCACGGGTACCTCTTCCCTCGGTGTTTCTGCCGGCTCTCAGGATCCCAGCCGTCTCTGAGTGGGACAGGATGGCTCCGAGTCTGTGATCCTTTCCAAAATGATCTTGTCTTCCCTCTGCACTCTAATGCTTCTGACCTCTCTTCCCCCTGTCTAGACTCCAAAAAACAGCATATTTCTTGAAACATGGAGAGACTTAAAGCCTGTGACAGCGTTCCTGTCTGCTTTCGAGAGAATGAGCTGGGTGCCAACGGGCAGGAAGGGCTCCTGGGGCGGAGTGGGCCCTCTTGTTCCCTTGTCCCGCAAGTGTCTGGAAGCCCCTCCTTCTCTAGGTGCCTGGGTTGGAAGGGGCTGGGCTCCAGAGAAGAACAAGCACAGCCCTGAACTCAGGGACCTGATGGCCTGGGCAGGGGTGGTGACAGGTGGAGGAGAAACTGCAGGGTGCTGTGGCAGACGGACTGAGGCACAGCGGCAGGGGCGCCCAGGCCTTTCCAAGGGCAGGGGGAAGGGACATCGATCATGAGAAGTGATGCTGGGACGCAGCCTTGAAAGAAGAGCAGGTGTCACTAGGCAGGAAGGAGAGGAAGGACACTTCAGTGACCTGGCCTGCCTGGAGAGGTGCAGCGGGAGGCTGCAGAGTCTGGCCCTTGGGTGTTGCTCAAGGAGTTCTGACTCACCTTGAAGGCAGCGGGGAGACACCAAGTGGTCTAAACCACACTCACGTGCGTTTTAGAATGATCGATCACTGGGGGAGGGGTGGAGAGTGAACCAGAGAGGACGAGACTAGAGGGGCATCGCTCGCGAGCCCACCACGGCAGTCCAGGAGAGGCGGCCTCCTCCGGACGGCCCTGGTTGGCCGTGGGCAAGCATGGCGTGGGAGTGAAGACAGGGCACAAGTTCCAGGGAGCGTGGAAGTGTCGCTGACATGGGGAGTAACAGTGGAACACCATCCCATCCCAGTCAGAGCAACCATACAGCCCTGTTCTGAATGCTTCACACACACTGTGCTGCTTCACGAGCACCACACTGCCACCGACTGTCTCATATGCCACCAGCAACACCTTGCCATGCACTGAGAGGAATTCCCGCCCAGCCGTCGGTGGGAGTGGGGGCAGTGAGCACCTGCGAGATATGAGTGTCTCGCTTTACCCTTAGAGGCAGCACTACCAGTAGGCCGACTGAGGTTAAAGAACGAATTGGTGAGGAGATGGGACTCAAGCACACGGTCTGACTGGGCCTGGGTCGTGGTGTAGCACTGGGTGGAATCACCTGTCGGCTGGTGCAGGCTAGAGACGCGGCTGAGGGAAGGAGGGCAGCTTGCAGTGAAGGCAGGGTCAGAAAAGGGCACCTGCACTGAAGGAGGGTGGGAGACCAGAGGGCAGAACAGGGCAGAGAAAATGATGAGGCAGAAAGGCAGTGTGGCAGGTGGGGAGAGGACACTGACGTTCAGTGCTTCAGAAAGGCCCCAAATTGACCTTTTTGTAGGTCAAAAACAACAAAAAATCAACAAATTTATTCAACACATGAAGAGTAGGGCTGAAAAGAGTCTGCGTGAAAGTCAGGGCACAATGTCCATTTCAGCATCATTTATAATAGTGAAAATTCTCAATTAATCTGGGGGCTTAATAAGAAGGAACTGGTTGAGTAAATGATGCCACCATACTAGGACGTGTGACCAACCCAGTAAACAATGTTCAGGAAAACATTCCAGTGAGGTGTAAAAATTCTTCTGATTTAATGTTGGGTGAAAACAGTTAGGATGTAGTATTGTATATGAGGTACAATTTTAATTTTACTTAATACATTTCTATGTGTACAAAAATATAACTGTAAGAATGCAGACAAATATACAAAAATTATCTCTGAGTTGTGGAATTATAGGTAACTAAAATTTTCCCTTTATGTTCTCTGCTATGAATGTGTATTACTTTCTAATCAGGAAAAAATGTGAAAATTATTTTTAAAGCTTTAAAAGGAAACAATTCAATAAATTTGGTAAGTGGGAAGTCATCGGTGAGCTCATTTGTCTGGTTATTCAAGACCTATTTCCTGAACACCCACCATGTGCCTGGCACCATGCTGGGCATTGGGTCCACAGAGCAGACAGACTCACAGACTCCTTCGGTCGTGAGGCTTGTGGCTTGTGGGAGGATGAGAGTAGATAGGCAAGCGCACAGACGACCACGAATGACAGGCTGTTGTGTGTGCCATAGGGGATGGTCATGGAGTCAGACCACAGGCAGGGGTCATCCTTTAGAGTGGCTGTCAAACGCCTTCATGTGAACTGAGACTGAAGGCCAAACAGGAGACAGTGGACCTAGGAGGACATTCCAGGTTCCGACCTGAGACCTCGAGGGAGGGAGTACGGCACCTGGAGATGAGCTCCTGACTGACAGCTGCTCTGTGAGTTGATGCGGAGCTGTTTGCTCATCGCCTGGCCTTGCCTGGGGAGACCACCCACTTGGCTGGTCGTGTAAGTTGGGCATCATCCAAATAAGCGCTGCTGGAGGCGTGACAGGTCAGCCTCATGTGTGCAGGCCGTGGCGGGGGGGTGTCCAAGCCTGGGCCTGTGCGGATGAGTGTGGCCTGTCATGGCAACGTAAAGCAAGTATTTCTGGATTACCTTTATTTGTGGGTAAACTTTACCTTTTCCTCCTGTTTGCGTGAGTAACTGGCAGCTGGCTTCATTTCTCTTTCTTCTTTGAATTTTCACTTAACCAAATTCTACCTCTAAGGTTGTTAAAAGCTTCTTCTTCCATTGAAAACTCAAATGAATCCTATTTAAATTTCTTGAGGGATGAGGTTGCCAGTGGGTTGTGGACCTGCTTGTTCGCTCTGAATCTGGCAGGGACACAGGTCCGTGGACTCTGGTAGCCCAAAGGAAGGGGCCCTTCTCTGGGCCCCTCTGTAGAAAACTGCACACACACAAGGTACTGGATGAAGACTGTTCCAGGAGCAGTCCCTGCTGAAACCAAATTGCAGCCTCGTTGGAAGCCTTGGTACAGAACGTTTCTGAGGTTATCTAGTCCAGGGAACCAAGATGTTGAGTTTTAGGAATTCTCTACTTATTCTGGCTATTAGCCCCTTATCAGATACATGATTGCAAATATTTTCTCCCAGCCTGTGAGCTGCCTTTTTACTCTGTGGGCAGTGTCTTTTAAGGGACAAGTTTTCCATTTTCATGAAGCCTAATTTGCTTAGTTTTTCTTTTGTTACTGTGCCCTTGGTGTCGTATCTGAGAATCATCGCCAAGCCTATGATATGAAGCCCTTTCCCTGTGTTTTCTTCTAAGAGCTTTATTGTTTTAGGCCATGCATTTTGGTCTTTGATCCGTTTTGAGTTAATCTTCATTTATGGTGTTAGGGAAGGGCCCAACTTCATTCTTTTGTGTGTGGAGATCCAATTTCCCCAGTATTATTTGTTTACAAGGCTGTCTTTTCCCTGATGAATTGTCTTGGCATTCTTGTCAAAAGCATTTGACCACATATGCGAGGGTTATCTGGGTCTCTCAATTCTATTCCATTGGCCTGTACATCTTTCTTTATGCCACCACCACATTGTTTTTGATTACTAGAGCTTTGTAGTAAAATTTGAAATCAAGAAATGTGAGTCCTCCACCTTTGTTCTTCTTTTTCAAGATTTGGGGTCCCCTGAAATTCCATATAATTTTAGCATGGGTTTTCTATTTCTGCAAAAAATGTTACAGGGACTTTGATAGGCATTATATTGAATCTGCAGATCACTTTGGCATTTTATCAATATTAAGTCTTCCAATTTGTGAACGTGGCATGTTTTTCCATTTATTTATGTCTTCTTTAATTTCTTTCAACAATGTTTTGTAGTTTTTATTGTGTAAGTCTTTCACCTCTTTGGTTAAGTAAATTCCTAAGTTATTTTTTCTTTTTTGAAGCTATTGTAAATGGAATTATTTTTGTAATTTCCCTTCCAGATTGTTCACTGTTCATGTATAAAAATGAAACTGATTTTTGTGTATTGACTTTGTGTTTTGCTACTTCACTAAATGCATTTTTAGTTCTAACAGTTTTTTGGGGGTGATGTGAGGAGTCATTAGGGCTTTATACATATAAGATCATATCATCTGTGAACAGAGGTATTTTTACCTCTTCCCTTCCCATTTAAATGCCTTTTATTTCTCTTGACTAGTTGCTCTGGATAGAACTTTCATACTATGTTGAATAGAAGTGCTGAAGGCAAGCCTCCCTGCCTTGTTCCCGACCTTGGAGAAAAAGCTTTCCGTCTCTCAGCACTGAGTGTGACGCTTGCTGAGGGTTTTACATACAAGGATTTTATTACGTTGGAGTGGTTTTCTTCTATCCCTAGTTTGTTGAATGCTTTCGTTATGAAAGGGTATTGAATTTTGTCAAATGCTTTTTCTGCTTCAATTGAGATAGTCATTTTTTCCATCATTCTGTTAATGTGTGTATTACACTGATTGATTTGTGTATGTTGAACCATCCTTACATTCCAGAAGTAAATCCCACTTGATCATGGTGTATATGCTGCTAATTTGGTTTACTAGTATTTTGTTGAGAATTGTTGCATCAATGTTTGTAATGGATACCATAATGTAATTTTCTTTTCTTGTGGTGCCTTTGCCTGGCTTTGGGATCGGGGTGATGCTGGCCTCCTCATAGAATGTATTAGGAAGTGTTCCCTCCTCTTCAATTTTTTGGGAAAAGTTTGGCAAGGATTGGTGGTAGTTCCTCTTTAAACGGTGGGCAGAATTCACCAGTGAGCCACTGGGTCCAGGGCTTTTCTTCGTTGGGAGATTTTTGATTACTGATCCAATTTCCTTACTAATTATAGATCTATTCAGATTTTCTACTTGTTTATGAGTTAGTCTTGGTAGGTTTTATGTTTCTGTGAATTTGTTCATTTCATCTAGGTTATTCAATTGGTTGGCATACGATTGCTCGCAGCATTCTCTTATAACCCTTTTATTTCTGTAGAGTTGGTAGTAATGCCCTCACCTTCATTTCTTACTTTAGTAATTTGAGTCTTCTCTTTTTCTCTTAGCTCATCCAGCTAAAGGATGATTATTTTTTTGTTGATATTTTTGAAGAACCAACTTTTGGTTTCATTGATTTTTCCCTACTGCTTTTCTGTTCTTTCAAATATCTCTGCTTTAATCCTTATTATTTCCTTCCGTCGGCTGGCTTTGGGTTTAGTTTGTTCTTTTTTTTTTTTTTTTTTTTTTAGTTCCTTAAATTGTAAAGTTAAGTAGATGATTTGAGATTTTTTTCTTATTTTTTAAAGTGTTTAAGTTATAAATTCCTTTCCCCAGCACCACTTCACTGCATCTAATAAGTTTTAGTATGTTGTGTTTTCATTTTCATTTGTCTCTAAGCATTTTCTAATTTCCCTTGTGATTTTTTTCTTTTATCCATTGGTTGGTTGACAGTGTATTGATTAATTTCCACAATTTTGTGAATTTTCCAGTTTTCCTTCTGTTAATGACTTCTAACTTTATCCCACTGTGGTCAGAGAAGATCCTTCGTGTGGTATCTGTCTTTTAAGATCTCATGAGACTTAATCTGTGGCCCATCCTGGAAGATGACCCATGTGCGCTTGAGAAGAGTGCATGTGCTGCTGTTGGGCAGTGCCCTGTGTGTGTCTGGTGGAGCTAGTTGCCGTGCTGTGTTAAGTCCTCTGTTTCCTTACTTATCCTTTGACTGGTTGTGCTATCCGTCTTTGTGACTTGAGTATTGACATCTCCAACTATTACTGAAGAACTATTTCTAGCTTCAATTCTGTCAGTTTTGCTTCATGTATTTTGATAATCTGTCACTGGGTTGGACTCTGATCTCACACCATATACAAGAATTAACTCCAAAGGGATCAAAGACCTAAATGAAAGAGCTAAAACTATAAAACTCCTAGAAGATCACATAAAGCCATGAAAAATAAAATCAGGAATGAAAGCTCAATTGTTGGGCAAATAGTTTCTCTCATAGTGTTGACTTTTGCTCTGAGTAGCTAGCTAGGTCTGTCCATGCTGTTGGAACAAACTTGTCTGCAGTTCTAGGGACAGATGAGCCTCTCTGAAGAAGGGCTGCTTCTCTCCAGCACCGGGCATTAACGTTACCAGTGTACTTTATTAAAGAAAGGAGTAGACAGAGACGTGAAATGGCTCCAAATTGGTGCATTCTTGACAAAACTATCCACTCTCATCCTTGCGGGTCCCCTGATAATCTAATCACAAGGTGACACCCCCTTTCTACCAGCACATTACAACAGGCCCCAAGAGGAAGGCTGCTCGGTGGCCCTGTGTCAGTGCTCTGGGCGTGAGGGCCACTGTGAGGCTGAGCCACCCTGACTTTGGACACAGAGCTCCCACCTATTGTGCGCAGTGTGCTGCCCAGAGCCAAGCACAGGTAGGAAGGAGACGAGGGGTCTCTGATTTGCTGCAGAGCCCAGCAGGATGACAGTGAGATGGTCTGCGGTTTGGGAAGCAGGCAGAGAAATTCTCTAGCTGGGGACCAGCCGCTTGGCTCACAGGCCAGCCTTTGGCCCCTCCCATCCCATTTGCCCTCCCGAGGTCCAGCTCCCCCGTCTCCCATGTCACAGGCAGGGCTTCCCTGGCGCCTCTGACCGGTGGGCACCTCCCCGTCTCTCTGCCCTCCTTCCTCCCTCATCTCCTGTGTGACAAATCAGGCAGGCACTGAGGGGGCTATTTGAGTGTGTGAATGATTGGGATTTGCAGTTTCAGAGAGAATTCCAGGCAGCAGGGAGGAACGTCTCCCTGTGGGAGCCCCTCCTGGACTGAGTTTCATGGGGTCCAGCTGTACTCCTGGCCCCTTCATTACAGCTTTAAGGTAAGCAGTATCAACAGCGCTTTTATATGCAGGTTAAATGTCTGTCTTTAAAGCAGAAAATGATTCCAGATCAAAGGTAAAGTGTCCCAGGAAGGAGGAGGTTGACCCACAGCTCCAGGCTTCAAGGACAAGGGTCTGGACAGTGGGTGCCAGGCTGTTTCTGATGCCCAGGCCGCTGCCCGGCCTGACCCTCCCGACCAGGAGGCGGGGTGCCCTGAGTGGCACCTTGACAACCCAGCACAGCAGGAGTGTGGCCTCTGCCTTGGTGTTTCCAGCTGGGCCCACCACACCCCTGGTAGGACACACTTCCTGGTGAGGTGGGAAGCCCCATAAAAAAGACCGGCAGGACCCCCCAAGCAGGGCCACTATTCTCCTGCCAGCACCATCCGGTTCCCTGGCCCAGAGGCTCTATCTCACTCTTTGCCTCTGAAAGGGCTTACTTACCCCTAAAATTCTATTGGTTCCCTGAGCTCACTTCTGATTGGTTATTTCCTTCACCCCTGATTGGTTACTTCTCTCACTCCTGATTGGTCTATTTCTACAAAGCTTGTGCCTGGTTGGTCAACTTCTGTTATACTTTATTTGCATATGATGTTCCAAAGTGTAAAACTGGCAGCCTATAAAGATCTGTGTAAACCTACAGACAGGGCCCAGAGCTTTGAGTATTAACTCCTCTGGGCCCACTGGCGTAATAAACCTGAGTTCTCCTACTCCCCGGGTGCTGTTTGGTCTCTCGCCGCTGTAACACCGCGCTGTAACGCTGAGCTACAACACCGAGATGTAACACAATTTTCCGCACTGGTGCATGAGGATCAGCTTGTATTTAAGTGTATTATGAAATGTGGAAACCACTCAGCTTCTTGGAGACAGGTGTGGGCTAAAGGTTTTAAAAGGATCCAGCACTTCTGAAAAAAAGCCACCTGCAGTGCAATTACTCATCATGGTCACTAAGTTAAATGACAGTGACGGGGCCAGGGAGAGAACCTGGGGGATTCATAGGGTGCAGGGGACAGAGGTTATTTACCTTAGAGAAGGGGTCTCTCAGGAGTCATACCTCTCTCTAGGCATTTAGAGAGTGATTTTAAAGACTCCACCTCCAGGGAGAACCCCACTCTGGGTGAAAACACAGGCAATTAGGCGGTGGGGGCACTCAAGGCGGGGCGTGGCCCTCTGCGGTCACAAGCAGGAGCAGCCACTGCCCATGCAGGACGCAGGAGCAGGCAATCTTCCCTGCTTTTTCCAGATATGGGCCCGGGGGTCTGTGGCAGAAGAACAAAACCTTTGCTGCTTTTGGAAACGGAAACTTTGAGAATGGCCAGGCACAGGCGCTGGGCCGGGCGGCTTCACCAGGAAGCTGGGCTCTGCTGCTTTCCGGCTCCATCAGCCTCAGTTTCCCCATCTGCAAACCGGGAATGCAGGAGCTCCTCCCTCAGCGGGCCTCCCAGGGTTAAAGAACCGAAGCTTCAACAGGCCTGGAAGAGGCTGTTGCTGTTGGGTCCCTGCTTTGCTGTAGGGAGGGCAGCTGATTCCAGGCAGAACAGGTGGAGCCCTGGTTCACGAGCCCCAGAGGAGAAGGCGCTCGTAGCCTGGGCGCTCTCTCCTGAGGGTTGGGGGGCAGTGCTTCTGCTCAGCCCTGGCCCAGCGCCCGCGGCCGCCCAGGTGTGGTGCGCCTGGGGGTGGTGGGGCCCCACTTACCTCCTGCGTGTGCAGGCGCTCCTGCTGCTGGCCTGCCCCCTGGTCCTCATGATGCAGGACACCTTCTCCAGCAGCAGACGGTTGTCCCTGTCGATGACGGACAGCCGCCCCTCCTCCAGCTGCGGCAGACACACGGGAGCCTCACTGCATGGGTTTACTTAGAGGCTTCCTCCCACCCTCCTGCCCTGGGCTTAGGTTGCCCCCTGGAGCACCAGCCTCCAGGCACGGGCTCCTCTGTCTGGGGATGGGGCCGGATTTCACACGCTCAACGTGGAAGTGACAGTGAGGATGCCGTGGTTCTTTGTGAAATTAGTCATCCTCTGAAACAGACCTGTGCCCATGCCACCAGGAGGAAATCTCTTCGGAGTTTAAGAGAGATACTTTATACTGTGCAGAGGAAGAGGAGATTGAGGCCAAAGGAAACGAAAGTCCTCTTGTTTTAGGTTTTCAAATTGATTGATCTGCTTCACTTCTGCCCATTCAGGCTGCCAGCTTGTAGGCACACAGAAGGCTCACAGCATTTTGCTTTGGGAAACATTAGTATCAGTATAACCGTGTGGTGCTAACCCTTGCCAGATGGTGTAAACGTCAAGAAAAAGATACTCTGAGGCAGCCATGAAACATCTGGTTGCAAGGAGTGATGGTAATTAATTACTCGAGATCCACACTGAATAAATGCAGCTGTGTCCCCCGACCCACTTTCCTGGAGACCTGCCAGGCCAACAGGGAGACTGAGAAGGATTTCTGGTGCTATTACCACCAGCTCCGTTCTGGGCAAGACAAGGTTACTTGGTTACCTATAGGCATTTTATTTTTGATATGTGACTTGTTTATTCCTTCTTGGGCCTGCCTTTTTCGTTTTCCTGGGTTTTAAGCTGACACTTTGATATTACGTTAGCTAGGACAGTAGCTGGGAAGTAAAACAAAATTACCTTGAGCTTCCTGAGTTTCAGGTGGAGGTGGCCGAGAGTCAGCGGGGCCCGGGTGTCCACGAGCGGCTGGGCTTCCTGGACCTGCACAGAGCGGGCAGTGTGACCCCAGGCACGTTCTGACCAGGTAATTAACGTGAGCTTCAGTGGGCACTGGGGACCCATATAGATCATTATTCATGCACCAAAGATTTCACGTTGGCCTATGAAAGAAGGTGCTAAAGAAGGCTCAGAACTTGATTTAGAATCTGAGTAACCCCTGGAGGGGACCAGGCAGCCCTCAGAAATGAGCCCACACTATTGTTTTCAAGTGAGAATCAAGTGAGTATGGAGTGAGACTTCATTCAGTGTAACTGCCAGATGACATTCCTGTGCCGCCCTCTGTTGCCAGAGGGCTTGGAGACAGTGGATTATGTCCCCGAATCCACCTGAGTCTCCTGTCTGAGCTCCAGCAACATTTCAGGATGAGCACCTTAGCCGTTGATTCAGTGCGAAATGATCCATGCAGTTTCCTATCAGAAAATATACAAGCAGGGAAGAATTTATATTTTAAAATGTGATAGATTAAATGCATAAACCATTTGCAGTAAAAAGGGACCTGGTATTCTCGACAACTGAGCTGGCAGCTTCTGCCCTGACGGTGGGGGTGCTGGGGAGCCCCACCAGCTCGCTCTGTCTAAAGGGGCCACTGGGCATGGGGCAGCCTGGGGCCCAGACCCACAGAGCCGCATGGGGACGGAGCAGGACGCAAAGCCAGGTGATGGGGAGAGGGTCAATAGCCAGTACTTGTACCCTGGAGCCAAGGGAACCCCGAGGAGCAGAGGCAGGGGCGATGTGACCTCATACCCCGTTGAGAGACCCTCACTCAGTCACTGTATGCGGAGGAAGAAGGGCCTGGTAAGGCTGGCCGGTCTCAGGCCCCAGGCGAGGATGGGGGACGGAGGTGGGTCAGCAATGGTGCAGGTGGGCAGCAGGCAGGGGCAGCAGAGTCGGGCCTGCTGGGGGCCTGTGTCTGACGGGCAGGGCCGGGGGTGGAGACGGCCGGCTTCTGGCAGGTCTGGGGTAAGGTGAATGCCCTGTAGGCACATTTAATCTGAGGTGACTCGGGGGGGCTTCCTAGAGGCAAGTTAGTTCAGGTTGCAGGTAAAACCCTGAGGCCCCTTATGAACACTGAAATAACACTACCTATTACAGCCTCTGCTTCTGAGCACCCTGCCTCACATGATGCTCTCTCCTCTGTTGTCATGTGGATGCGGGGCAGGGGATTCCTCCTTGCAGTGAAATGCTGGTCGGTAAGGGTAGATGGAGTGGAGACACGGAAAAATTGCCATTTTATAACCATCCTATTACAGATTGGTTTGGGCAAACTTGTAACAGATGTTCGACGTTGGAGGGAAAGTGACTGAGGAGGGGCCGGAGGGAGTTGCTGGCAGAGACGGTGAGAAGCAACGCTGTCCACCTGAAAGGACCCCTGAGAGCAGGGACCTCGCAGCTGTTGCCTGTCTCATGAGGCAGGGGTGCAAGCCCCTCCCCCTGGAGACAGCAGGATCCTTCTCAGAGACTCTGGGCTGAGGGCACAGTGGGAAGGCCCTGGGAAGTCACAGGTTCTCCAGGTGAGAGATCTCTGTGGAGACTGAACTGCCCCCGGAGGTGGTGGGGGAGGGGGAGATGATTGGTGTCCTTCTGGAACACGCAGGCTGCCGCCACAGCACAGAGGTCCCTAACTCTTTGCATTATGTGCGGCCCAGGCTTCCCTGAAGCCTGTGTACCGTCAGCACCTCTCCTGCCTCCATCTGGACCCGAAAGGGTGGAGGGGTGGCAGGAAGTGGAGCTTGTCTCAAGTTTCCAGTTCGGAGTCTCCCGCTGACACGAACGTGGGCAGGATTGCATTTGGATGGTGTTTGGACTTTACACGCTTGGGGTCTGCTCGTTACAGCATCTCATGTTACCCCAATTAATAAGAATCAATGCCTTTAACATACCAAGGGAAGGTTATTGCCAATCTAGAATTTTATACCAAACTTTCTATCAAGGGTGATGATAGAATAAAGGCATTGTAAACACAGAGACCAAAAGAAACAAGTGGAAAAACTCCAAGCAAACACAAACCTCCCCTGTTCTTGGGAAGCTACTGCAGGACGTGCTTTGCTGCACCAAGGGGGTAAACCAGACACAGGACTCAGACGGTTGCTGGACGGCCCACCCTGCTCTGTGATTCCATGACCCCAAGGCATGACTGTGCTTCGTATTTCACGATACAAGGGAGACGGTTTGGTGGGTTGCTGCAGGGTTTAAATTGGGTATAATGTATTTCAGAGGGCTTGGAGGAGGAGCTGAGTATTGCACCGCTGGGGAAAATGCAGGAGGAGGGGAATTTGTCTTGAAACAACATCGGAGCCAAACCTTCCCATCCTCGAAGGCCTTGTGTGGTAGCCGCACCCTCATGTTCTAACCCTAAGAGAGTCAGAAGTCACAGACCTGGGGCTGGGGCGCCACGGGGTCTCTGCGTTCTCACTGACGCTGCTGCCTTGCAGATGGGCGGGGTGGCGGCTGTTCTGTCCTGTCCTGTTTTACATTGGACACCTTCTCTGTTTCTGTGGTGATGCTGCTCCCTGAGTAGCCGTCCCGGGAGGTCAGGCCCTGCGCCACCTCTGGCCCCCTCTGACCCCGTCTCCACTCCTTACCGCATACTTTCCTGAGGGTGTTCAGAGGAGTGCAGGGCCCTGAGATGACCCCATAGATACCGAGGACCTGCTGTGGAGGACCAGCAGATGCCAGCATCCTGTCCTATTTGTTTCAGAGTCTAGAAGCAGAACTGTCACTGGAGCACTCAAGGTCACATTGGGCCTGAGTCCTTCCCGTCCCTGCTTCTACATCCTGACCATCATAAGGGTACCTACCGTCAATACAGCCAATGTGTTGTTATGTTTTTAAATTTGTGAAAAATGTATCTAACTGTAATGACCATTCTGCTTCTTTTTTCACTCAAAATTATTTTTTAAACTGTAGTATAAAACTTCAAACAGAAATAACAATAGAGGAGAGAATAATGAACCCCCGATGCCTCACTTCGCTTCCGCAAAACCAACTAGCTCGTGGCCCGTGTGGTTTCATCGCTTCCCCTGCCCACGACCCCACCCCAGGCTGAGATTACAGCAAAGCTAATCCAAGCAAATCCTTTTCATCCTTAAGTATTTTAATTTCTGTCTCTGAAAGATAGGAAATCTTTGTAAAAGTATATAATTTCAATACCACAATCACACCAAACGATGACACTAGTTCTCTGATTAAATATTCGGATCCTGTCTCCTTCTCTGATTTCTCTCTCTTGTCTGCTCGCTTGACTTAGGGTCCCAGTGAAGACGTGCCAACACCGCATGTGGCTGGCAGGTTTCTTCCATCTCTCCTGGTGTACAGTTTCTCCCTCTGTTCACCCCTGCAGTGTGTTATGAGGAAACCAGCTAACTTGTCCTGCTGACACTCTCCATCTGGGTCCTGCTGATTGCACACCTGGCACATCCTTAAACCGGCAGTTAGAAATTCCAGTTCAACTTTTCCCTTGGCGAGACCACACCGAAGGTGGTGCTGGGATGTTTTGTCTGTAGGTATACGTTTCTGCTTGTCTCTCTCAGGTGACATGAGCAGCTGGGCCTGGTCCTTGGTGGGCTCTTGATTAGGCATTGAAAACTAGAGACAATCTCTTCCACCATTCGTTCCATGTTTATTAATACTTCCACAATGGCAAGCTTCACCTGAGAAGCACGCACACTCGGTTCTCTTCATCTACCAATTTTAAAGATAGTTCTTAGCATCTTCCGAGGCTGTTTCTGTTACCATCATTAGGAAGTCAAGGGCATGGTCGATGTACTTCAGTCCACTGCACTGACTTCCTGACTGACGTTCAGCGAGGCCCCGCTGGGCCAGCAGGGCTCCTCCAGCTGGCGTTTGTCACAGCGCCAGTAGTCTGCCAGCCTCTTTCCTTCTGGAATGAGTACAAGGATCTGCAGGGTTTTCTTGTGTATGTCTTGTCTCAACTTGGAATCAGCCCTTTCCACAACCGAGGTGGTTCTGTTAGTGGGAAGTGGCATTTGGAGACCACAGTCTGGTCGCTAGGAGTTGTGACTACACCTGAGTTTGTGTCTAGGCCTTGGCAGGGGCCGGAGCTGATCTGCTTCCTCCAGTTTCAGTTCAGGACCTCATTCCCTCCAGTGAGGCCCACTGATCTCACTTCTGCCGAAATTCCCAGCTCTGAAGGACACCAAAGCCAACCGCTCGTTTGCTTTATCCGCCCTCAGCACACAACAGTCCATGAGAAGAACGCTGCCCCTGCCACCACCCACATGTACTGAAATCAGGTTGTTTATTGCTTTTTGCCTTTGCTTTATCATTAGGGGCTCTCACCATGAGTATACACATTACTGAGTTTTGAAGACGTCTGAATAGTTCCTCTCAATATGCGTACGAAACCAACTGCATCTACACTTAGGTTCATTTTATTTTCAATATTCTGAAGTGCTTTTTAGATTTAATTTCATTTTGTAATGTGTAAGATATCTTCGTGGCTCCAAAGGCGCATCTGGCAAACACTTCTTTCTCTAGGAGGCCTGGGCTCTGTGTTTGGCACCCTTGCTCTATCCCCCGTTGACACGTCTTCTGACTTTGCAGCTGCTCCTTTCATATCTGAAAACACAGGGAGGCATGTGTTCTGTGTGTATGTGCAAATATATTTATGTATGTGTATGTGTATATAAACATTTTCATCCCTTTTTTGGGTAAATAGAGCATATTTTACATATTTTTTTCTCCAAGTTGCTTTTTCCATTTCATAATATATTCTAGAGATATACATTTCAACATATATCCTAGAAATAAATTTATATAGTATGTATAGACATTTCTTGCTCTTTTTATAGCTGCATGGTACTTAGTTGTGTGAAAGCATCTTCATTTATTCACCCAGCTTGTTTTTGAGGAAGAGTTGGTCTGGTTCCAATTTTGCTAGTGCAAATAATGCCACAATTAGAATCTTTTTCAATTTCTTCTCACGTCTCTGCCCCGGTGACTTCGGCATGTACACTCAGCTGTGGGGCTGCTGGGTTAAGAGATGGATGCGTAGGTGATTAATTAGGTGGCGCCAAACCCCGCAAGGATGGGCCCTCTTGCCTGCCCACCAGCTCTGTGCGACAGTGCCTCTCCCTGCCAACAACTTGGGGTTTTTTACCAATCTGATAGTTGAGAAGTGGCATTAGAGGGAAGTCTAGTTTGCATTCCTCAAGCATAGGGAGGTTAATCATTTTTTATAGGTTAAGAGCTGTTTGCAATTCTTTTTCTGTAAACTTCTGTTTATACTCCTTGCCTATTTTCATATGGGGTTTGCATTTTTCTTATTTTTAGAAGTTCTTTATGTATAAAGATATTAACTCTTTGTAATTTAAGTTGCAATTATTCTCCCCAATTTATATGTGTTTTTCCATTGATTCTTTTGGGTTCTCCAGATATTTAGTCATTTCATCTACAATTAGAAAAACACTGATATCAGTTTCTTTGCATTTCATACCTAGTGGCTGTGTCTTGCGTACTTGCATTGGCTAATGCCTCCAACATAATTTAAAAGACTGTAAGGGACAGCAGGCGTCCTTGTCTTATTTCTTACTTTAAGGGGAAACCTGATTAGGAATGAAATACTTATATTTTATTACGTAAGGAAATTCAATAGCATTTCTATTTTTTAAGGTAATTTTGCTTTTATTTTTAGCATGAATGGGTGTGAGGTTCCAGGGCAGAGGCCCTGCTGAGAGACCAGACTGGGCTCGGCCCTCCAACAAGTCTTCCGTCTCCCCTCTGTTGCATCGGGGTCCTTACAGCCCCAGGGATTCTCAGCCAAGCAGTGAGAAGTTTCTCTAAAGAGCTGCCATTGCCTTTATATGGAAGAGGAACTGGGGAGATACCAGGGGTGGTAAATCTTTCCCACCAGCCACTGTTCACCAAGCACACACTACATGCTCGGGAGACTGAGACTCCCAGTAACGAGATAGGGCCACCACCCCCCCGACCAGGGGAAACAAACAAGGTGGAATAGTGAACACGTTACGTCATCCATGCGGCTCATGAGGCAGCAGACGAGGAAACAGAGAGGGGTGTGCGCCGAGACTCCTCACTCTTAGGGAGGGCGCGAGGGGAAGACTTCCAGGAAGACCAGAGGTCACAGGAAGTGAGCTGAGCCCGGGGACCACCTACCAAGAGGCTCAGAGGGGGTCTCATGGGGATGCAGGCACAGGGCCCAGGTGAGGGGCACAGGGCAGCCTGGCCGTAAATGTGGTATCCATGCATCCAGGTGGAGAAGTAGGAACCTGGGGGTGTCTCCAGGGAAGTCACTCCAGAGTGTCACAGAGCAGTCCTGTTTCCAGAACGTCCGCTTCTTCAGAGTCTTTCCCAGCCTTGACGGTCCCTGAGCACCGCACACTTGGATGGTAGATGGGCAGATGACCACCAGGCCACTTCGGGACCACAAGGCAGCTTTGCAAACGAGACCCACGTTGGCATCGACTAACTGGGACTGACAGCATACCTCCCGATGGAGCTAGAAGTCACCCAGTCCCCTGAGGACGCTGTTTGACAGGGAGAGGGTCCTTGGATCTTTTTGCCTGAAGATACTTTCAGGTCACTTAGAAAAAAATAAATACTTCATAGCAAGTGCCACATTTGAGAAAGGGACACTTGGACACCACAGTATATTTAATGGAGACTTTGTTTATGGCAACACTATGACCAGCCTTTAAGGAAACGTCATTTCAGCCGTTCCACCTCCGGAGAGAAAACTAGCCCTTGGCTCCCAGGGAAAGCCGGGCCTGGGCGCCTACCTTCCTCCTGTGGTCCTGGTAGGCCTTCTCCCACATGCGCTGCTGCCGCTCCCCAGGGCAGGGGGGCGTCGGGTGGCAGGCTTGGTGAGACATCTCTGACAGCAGAGCCCACTATCCTTTCTGAGAGGCACCCAGCCTCAGTGCAGCCCTGGAGACCCAGTGTTTGCAGGTCATGTGACGGTCGTCACGGTGCCCAAGCTCAGGGACGAGGAGGAGGCGGTGGGGGGGGCCTGTGCTCGGCAGAGAGGGTTGCGCAGCCTCCCTCCGGGGTGTTTTCTCAGTGACCAGCCCACACTCGTGCATGAGATAAGGAATCTCTCCACTCTCCTCCTCCCCCTTCCCCCTCCTTCTCCACACCTCCCCACCCCCCTCCTCCCTCCCTCAGCCTCTTTCTCTTCTGTCTTGGAGTTTGGTAATAATTTGGACACTCCAAATATTTTTATTTGTGGCTTCAGTGGCAGAGTCTCATCAGCTTTTCTTGATGGACTGGAAAATCAGATACAGAAAGTTCCAGCTGCTCTAGGCCTTTCCGCTCTCCCTGGCTTTTACCTGGTTGGGGTGGTTTCTGTGGGACAAATGAAGTGATGGTGGGTTAACCACTGAGTCGCCATCACTGTCAAAGTCACGTGCACAGTGCTGGAGATGACATGAGCAGAGGGACTGGTGAATGACAAGACAGCAGTATCATTTTCATTGCAGAGCCCACGTCTTCATTACATCACAGTATCCACTACAGGAAACCTTGGTGCAGAACTAGTGTCTGGGAACTCACGGCTCCGCTGTGTGTAAGAAGTGGGCATCTTAGGAGGCGCCGCGTTCCCCATGTCAGCATGATTCTGTGGCTGTCAGTCTGAAAGAGAATCAGCCGAGCTTAAGCTGAATCAGACTTGGGAAAAATAAGATGTGGATAAACTACAGCAGGACTCTCTCTGCCCTGCTGTGGGCGGCGGAGCCACAACGTGCTTCTAGGGATCTTCAGAAGTGTGGCAGAAGACTCTGCAGGTTGATAAACTTGCTGACGTGCTGACAGTTAAAAAGCTATTGAGTTTTTCAAAGAACTGATTTAGTTTAGCCCAGAATTTCTCGTGGGTATTAACTTCAGAAAACTATATGCAACAAGGTTCCACTGTGCAGCGCAGGGAACTGTGTTCAATTTCTTGTAATAATGCACAAAGGAGAAAGAATCTGAAAAGAAAATATATATGTGTATGTACACGTGTAACTGGCTCTCTTTGCTGTACCCCTGAAACTAACGTTGTAAATCAACACTTCAGTAAAAATTTTTTAAAAGAAAACTATGTGCGTACAGTAGAAGATAGACGTAAAAATTACTACATAAAATACAGTAGCCCTTCGAAGTAAAAGGCTTCATTAAGACTTCTGGGCCTATGAAACCTACACACCATATTCAGAGGATTCTGTTAAAACAATTCACTTTCTTTACCCAGTTACGGTCATTGATCAAGCCCGATGTCCAGCAGATGCTCCGTGAAGACGGGTCACTAGTGACGGAAAATGGCCTGATGTTTGTGAGTGACTCCCCAGCTGTGGGGCTGGTCTACATGACTCGTGTCTTCCTTTTCCTGTAGCCCGTTGGCCACTCGCTGAGGTTTCTGACGATGCTCTGTGTCCTGCAGGGGGCTGGGGGCAGCTGGGAGGCAGCTCGTACAGTTTGCTGGCACTCGTGCGGACAGACCATGGACAAGGGGCAAAGTAGGAACTGGGCCAAATAAATGCACACACCCTTGGGCTGTGTACCGACCCTCCACCCCGGCTGACTCTCACTGCCCAGCCACTCAGTCAGTGTTTGGGGTCTGAGTGGACTTGGTGGTGGGCCTGGAATAATCAGACTTGCCCCCGAAAACAGAAAGGTGCCATCAGCTGGTTGGTCTGCCTCCCAAGCACCCACCCACCCACTCACCCAGGTTCAAACCAAGTTTCAGTTCCTAACATGTTCTCAACCAGATCCAACCAGAAAAGTCAGTTAGCCAGTAGCTCCTTGGAATTGGTCCTGAGGAAATAATATGCAAGGCTGACAAGGGTTTATACACATCAAAGAATTACCATTAAAGTGGATGCCTGGAAGGTCGGAGTTTAATCATTAGTAAGAGACAATGTTAGCTTCCTCTGGTGTCTTTTTCTGTCCAAGACCCAATCCATGATACCGCTTTGCATTTTGTGAACTTTTGGGTAGAGAATTTTTTAACACTGGGCTAGGTTTGAATGTTTAATATCACACAGTTTCTTTTTATGCTCTGCAGAAAACACACACCAAAGCCTGTTCTTGATTGGATTACTCACGTGATACCTGTGTGTTCAGATCAGCCTTAATCAGTGTGTTTGCCCAATACTGACCTGAGAATTGAGTTTATTAGTAATGCCCTGAACTGTTACCGAGGGACGCCGTGACTACTCACAGTCGTCGCACAGGACTTGTATGGTGCAGGCCATATTGGGCATTCGTGGCACGAAGCATTCACAATCCCATTCACGCGTCCTGTGGCTCTCGCTTTGGCATTTCTGTCCCTCTGCCCTCCCACAGGAGCAGTGAGATACACGCAGCACAGGCTCCCTCTCATTTCTCAGGACAGAGTAGTTTAAAAACCATCTCAATACCTCAAACTCATTCACTCTTGGAGGGAAATGAGCTCACAGATATTTGCTCTCAGAAATAATTGTGTGACCCAGCGGCCTCTGATGAGCATGGGTCACTGGAGAAGCTGCGTACCTCCATGCGGTGACAGGCGTGGGCTGCTTTCCCAACGCCGAGAACACCTGAAATCCTGGGCATTGTCACTTACACATTAGGGAGTGGACACAGGGATCAGGAGTCTGGAGAACATGGCCAAAGAAACCAGGGTCCTGGGCCAGCACACAGGGCTCTTCCTGGGGACACTCGTGGTCCTGAAAAGTGGGGATCTCTGCGAGTGAGAGACACGTGGGGAGCCTAGTGGGAGACAAGGGCTGCACCATCAGGAGAAGTGTGAATCAGAAACAATCTCTGGGAGCAATGGCAGGTTACTGCAGAACAGGGGAGGATGCGGGAGCTCCTGCAGCTCAGCTCAGCCAGCCTGGCTGCCAATTACCCTCAAACCGTGAGACTGGCTGTGTGGCCCTGGGCTGGCGGCGTCCCACGATGCAGAGGAAAGGTGATGGCTCTCCTCCAAGGCCTCAGATTCTCCCAGTGTCTCCAGGGCACGAGCTTCCTGCAAAGTGAATGACAGCAGCAGAACCACCAGAAACCCCAGAACAGACTCCCAGAGACTCTCCTTCCTACTGAAGTCATGGGACACATTAAGGACAATGAGGCTTACTATGTTTTAAGGGGGAAAAAGATGAAATTGGAAACATCTGCAGGGTACAGGAAACCACAAAAGTTTTCAATACAGGAGGAACATTTACAAAATTTGCAAACTTTGACCACATGCTGAGCTGTAAAGAAGTCTCCACAAGTTTTGAAGGACCATGACCGTACAGACAGTGCTGGCGAGGGCACTGAGCTAAGGATGAGCAAAGACACCCAAGAGCCCCGCGTGTCTGGGGTGAGGAGATGAGGCTCTGAGGTCAGCAGCAAGACAGAGCTGCTCCTGTGACCTTCAGGTATGCTTTTAGGGTACATTGGACATCTTTGTCGGTTGTTCTGAACACAAGGAAATTTAGTTGCCGGTAATTAGTGATGGTGGAGTTATCTGTAGCCTCAGTTACTCAGTCACTTCTCAAGAATGTTAGTCCTGAAAAGATTCACTTAGGCCTATTAATCCTCCTCTGGAGATGTTCTTAGGGAATTAATCCAGAAGAAAGGAGAGCTGTATACACAAATGATGACCTTCAGTGTTGCTGATTTCACAGCTAGTGGAGGGGCACGCCTGTGGCGTCCTCTGCAGGTGAAGGTCACCTGTGTGTATTGGCTTGCTGGGAGGTAGTGCAGCTGAATGACTCCTGGGAAGATTACAAACCCAGGAAAGCAAATGTAAAATTGTTCCCCTCACAGTTTGTAGGATCAGGAGTGAGCACAGAGCCTAGAAGACGTCCTGGAAAAGCTAATTTATTACAGGTGAGAATGAAGCGATTTTTAATTTTCAAAATGGATTTATCACATTTGTGTGGTTACTTTAAAAAATCCACTTGATGTGCAAAGTGGCCCTGATCACACCACCCAGAGCCCACGCCTCCCCTCTAAGGCGTCTTCTCTCAATCACTGAGCATTGAGAATTCAGTTACACGTCACCCACTGCTCGAGACAGGGTCGCTGGTAAACACACATGCACCCCTTGGCCTCTTTGTCTAAACAGCTCGCCCCGGGTCCCACGTCTTCTGGTCACGTGGCCCCACACTGCATCCACAGCCTGGGCCACCTAGGCTCTGCAGGGCAGACCCCGGCCAGAGAGAGCAGTGCACACTGCGAGGTTTCAGGCCCCGCACATACACTCTAGGAATCCAAAAGGAGCCGTTTCTCCTTTGCCTTCCCTTTTCCAAGCCCAGTGGAGCAAGAGTGGATTTGAATCTTCAGGAGAGCTTTACTGGGAAACCAGTAAAGGCAGTTGGGCCACAGGGGCTCCCAGTGTGCAGAGGCCTCCAGGCTGGGGCGAAATGGGACCGGAGCAGCTCCCCCAACGCAGTGGGGAAGCCCCTCCTGCCCGGGTCTCCACCCTGACTTATTATTTTTTTATCTGGCTAGAGAAGGCAGTGAGACCTCCAGTGCTTTTGTGCTATTTTAGGGTAGAAGGGTGGCCTTTGGCAAAGCCCTGCCATCTGCAGGGTGGGAAGCAGGTGCTGGCTGGGTCGGGGGTCAGCAGAGCAGCCAGTCCCTGGAGGAGGACCAACAGGCACGCCTGCCAGGAAGGCCCCGGGCTGCCTTCGATGACACTACTGTGGCTGCAGACACTGTCTCAGGGCCCTTGAAGCTGTGGTCCTGCAGGGGCATGAACTGCAGGATGTGTGCTCGGAGCCCTGGGGCAGGGTCTGGGAGACCCTCCAGACACCTGTGACCTCGTTAGGAACCTGGGAAGGGATAGGCCCCAGGCTCTCAGCCCCTGGGTCCTTGCTGCCACTTCAATGTGGATGCAACTGCAAAATAAAGAAAGCGTTTTCTCCCTCAGGAAAACAAGGAAGCAGTTCATGAGTATTTTTGGCAACACATCCTTCCCTTCAAGAAAAAGAAGAAAATGCAACTGGAAAACAAATTGCACCCCCTCCTCCAATTGAGAAAACACATGAAATGTGAGAAGGGTCCACTCCACCTGCACTGAATGGAGGGTCTGGCCTTCAGGTCGGAGGGTGGGTCTGGCCAGGACTCAGTCCCCCGTAGGTGTGGCCTGTGGGCCTGGCACGTGGTTAAGCAGCCAGGAGGAGGCTGCTCGGTCCAGTGTGGCAGCGGTGGAGCCCTCTCTCTGGCAGAGTTGCCCCAGGGCTCAGAAAGTCAGGCTTCCAGAAGAAACACATTCATTTAGGGTGACTTGAATTCAGAGGAAATACTTGAAATTGTCTGAAATTTACTTTTTCATCATCTTTACATTTTGATTCTAATTCTGCCAGTTGCAGTCGTGGTGGAGAGACGGGTGTCCTTCTGCACCTGGCAGCCCTGGAAGCCCTGGAAGCCCTGGAGCAGCTGCAGCAGGACCCCGCCCCCACCCTCCCCTTCCTGAGGCCGAGCCTCTGCAGCTCCTTTCACGGCTCCTGACAGGAGGAGTGGGCATCACTTGGAGCAGCAGTTTCCCGGGTAGGAGCCGGGGTCTGGAGGAGAGGATCCTGCATGGCAGAACCTGGTGGGTGGAGTCCAGACGGTTGCCCAACCCTTCCCCGAAGACACTGTGAACTGTGAGTCTTGCTGGTCCCACTAAGCCCCTCCCCACCACGGCCATCTGGAGCTCCCCTCTGCCGGCGGGAAGGCGCACTTTCATCCGTGGAAGCGGTTGGTCACGTGGATGGTGGCCGACAAGCACGGGCAGCCCATTGGTCCCAGTCGAGACTCACGTTTTTGGTCAGGGAGCTGTCCGTGTCTCCGGGAGGCAGATGGGACCTGCTTGAGGGAGCACAGCCCCCAGCCTGGGCTTGTTAGGACACAGGCTTCCTAACCTGTTCTCACGCCTTCCCCAGTGCTCTGGAGCGACTTCTGCTTTCTGTTCCCTCCCAACTACATTCTTGTTATAAATGGTCCTGCAGACACCCTTCAGGGTGGGGGTGTCTGCCCAGCCCCCTAGACCTGCCCCTAGCTGGTCTCACACCCAGGCCACAGCCCTGCCTTGGCCTGGGCCCCAGTCGATTGGATCAGCAAAGATCTCTTTAGAGACTGGAACTGGTATCTGGATTCAGCTAGTCTGTCTCAGCATACAGCATGGCTGGCCCTGAGATGCCCATGAAGCCTTGGCTGATGAGGGATCTGTCATCCATCCCGCGGACACAGAAGCAGGGAGAGACAGCCTTCAGGGAAAGAAGATCGTGAGACCTGAATAGAGGGACAGAGAAGTGGCACGAGGAGGCACCCCAGGCACCAGCTTAGACCTACAGGAGCCCAGCTTCCTCTGGGTTCAAAACAGATGCCAGAGTCTCCCGATAAATTCCTCTTTTGTTCTAAGCCATCCAGAGGGGACAGAGGCCAACTTGGGGAATCTAAGACCATAAGTAATTCCCACTTCTAACTCGTTTTATGCAATGGTGGTATTTGTCCTCCCGGGAAAGTACAGAGAGCTGACCCACCCTCTGCCATAGAAAAATATGCAGATTCCTAGTTGACCGGCCTTCTTTGTCTTACTTCACCCCCAGAAACCCTGAGAACCACCTGCTAGGTCTTCAGGTTCCTGCTGCCACTTGAAGGGCTTTTCAAGTGCATTGAATTTGCTGGAACAAGTCCTCTGTCAGCACTGAGGTAAAGCCTGGAAGTGGTGGTGAGTTCCTCAGATAGAAACGCAATTATACTGGCTACAGTTATCGGTGATTTGATTTAAATAATTATGTTTATTTTTAAAAGAGAACCCCAGTCTCCCCCCTTTTACACTCTGCCCTGCTACTCATCCTTCCACCAATAGTTAGTCCATGTGTCTTTTTAAAAAATTATTTGCTTATTTAATGTATTTTTAAAATTTACTCGGAGAGGGGAGTAATAAGGTTCATTCATTTGTCTATTTTACTGGAGGTGCTGGGGCTGAACCCAGGACCTCGTGCACGCCAGCCACACGCTCCGCCACGGAGCTGCGCCTCCCCCTTTAGTCCATGTGTTCCTAAAGCTTGTTCTTTCCAGGACAAAGCTGAGTTTAAATGTCAGAAAGTAGTCTCTTATCCTCGGGCCAGAGGCACCTGAGCCGCTTAGTTTCTGAAACCGGAAGTGCTTGCTGTCAAATGGCACTGAGGCAGGAAGCAGTGACAACAGCTGGTTCAGCCTTCACGGTGGCCAGGCTGGGGAGGGGACAGAGCTGGGCCCAGGGTCTGACTCTTGGTCCGGGAACGTTTCCCTCTGCCGGCACCTCAGTGTCTGTCGTGCCTGGGTGAAGCACCCGAGGTGTCTCACGGCAACGATTCGCCTTCTTCCACAGACATCACAGCAGATGTCTCGGTGCCAAGGGCGTGACAGAAGGTCTGAAGGTCTTCAGTTGGAGACCAGCTGCTGCTTTCCTTGGGGTGATGAGGTCAGCGAAGGTTCTGCTCCTTAGCAGGGCTAACAGTGGTCTGGGGAGGTGGGGAGAGACCTGCCGCTGGGGCTGTGGTGTCCTGCCCTCCTGCCCTGGTCCACCAGCTGCTACGAGCTGTTTGTCCTGCTCCATGAGCTCCCAGGACCCTTTCAATCCAGTTCCTGAGGACTTCCCAAATCCTACATGCTCACCACCACACCCCTCCCAGCCCTGGCCGTGCCTTCCTTCTTCCCGACCTGTTCCTGGACCACTGGCCCCTCTGCAGGGAAAACGCAGATTTCCCCTGAAGCTAAAGGGCTGAGGTCCAGAGGCCCCACCTGCACCCGCAGGACCCAGCCCAAGGCCCTGGGAAGACACTAGTCATTTCTCTTTGAAATTTTACCCTCTTTTCTTTCTGATCAATGACCCCCACCACCACCCCCCATGCCAAATCATGTCAGTTTCAGCGTCTGCCTCTGTCTGTATCTTTTTCTTCTCTGCACAATGCTTCCTGTTCACATGTTCTCTCTGCCGGATGTCTCCTGAGGGTGGTCGTTGAGCCACCAGAGTGGGGGACGCCAAAGGCGGAACCCCAGCGCCTCCTGTGTTCAACCAGGGCAACTCCTCCTGGGCGTGTTTAATATGTTGTGCTCTCGCTTGAAGAAGTGTCCTGGAACTTGAAGAAACTGAAAACCCTGGTAGGCCATGGCTGGTAGCTTGAACGTTAAGGTCAAAAGCTAATACATGTGACGTGATATTTTGGCCGTGAGCATGGGGTAACAGTTTGCTGTGGCGCTAATTTGAAAAGATACCAGTGACTTGGACAGTGAGTCAGCACAACTCTTCCCAAGTCAGCGCAGCCTCTGGGGTGAAACATGCAGGTGAGTAGAGTGCATGGTCCGTAGGGTGCTGCTTTTCCTTCTTTGTATGTGAGTGTTAGGACCTGGCATGTTGACGAAGCTGTGAGACTTTTACTCAGACCACAGAGCATTCGGACAGAGATGAGCTGGACCTGGGAAGACAGGTGACAGGAGCGTCTGGGAGAGAGCTGGACCGTGTCAGCAGTTGGCAGGTCTCCCGAGAGCTGCGCACAGACAGGGATTCAACATGGAGCTGCACTGGGGCCCTTCCACAGACACTATACGTACATTAGTTTCCCCTCCCGAGAATGACCATTGTGTAGACAACCGTTCTGTCAAAAAGGGGATATTCAGTAGTGACAAAGAGGTGTCCAAAGACCATGTCCAAGTGTTTCAGCACAAACTGAAAACTAGTTACCAGACAGTAGGACGACGGAAAGATGGTTGAGGGTCACAACAAACCAGCAGATGAATCAGCAGCAGTGGGGACTGTGGAAAGGAGCGGCAGAGCGCCACTCACAAGAGACGACCAAAGCCAGTCTCACTGTCAGCGTGACGCAGGCTTGTTTCCACGTCTGGGGGAGCTGTGGGGCGGCCGGTGCCCCAGGCACCTGGGTCTCCTCCCCCCTGAAGCCTCAGCAGACTGCAGGAGACGCGCGCAGGGAGGGTGGACCTGTCGCCGCAGAGAAAGGGAGGTCAAGGTGCGGGCAGGCTGCGAAGGCAGGAAGGGATGGAAGGTGTGCAAGGGCTGGGGAGGCAACAGTGGAAACTGATGTCATCATGTAGGAGGGACCCTGCCGGGATCCTGGGGTGTGGGGGTAACTGGGTTCTGCCTGGCCCTCTGCTTCCCTGGCCTCCCTCTCCCTTCCCCACCCGGCAGACACCGAGGGCTCTTCTTCAAAGACCTTGAATCAACAGCCTGGGTTGGGCCACAGCTCCTAGCACGTGTCTGGGGCCCCAGAGTAAAAGCTTCCTCATTCTGGTTTGGGTTGGGGCATGTTGCGGGGGCAGGAGTGGGTAACTGCCAGCTCACTGCCCACCAGTTCCTCACCGTCCATCTAAAGAGAGCACAGCCAGCAGAGCCCAGCTGTGGACACGAGCTCCCAGCTTACATTCCCACTCAGAGAAGCCAGGGGAGCCCACAGCAGAATGAGCCTGACTTCCCTCTAAGAGGACCCCAGTATCCCCAGACTTCCAGAAGAACGTCAGCCACACAGGGGAGTAGAGTGAAGGTCCACAAAGACAGGGACCTCGGGGCAAACGGCTAAGTAAAAACAAGAGAAAGTCAAACTGAAAGTCCAATTGTTGTCCTCAGAAACATTCTAGAAAACACTGCATGCTCATGACAGGCAGAGTAGGAAAGAAATTAAAATCTGATTCCTAAAATCCCAGGGAAGAGATGACGCTGGAGCCAGTGTGTCTTCCAGGACGCAGCTCAATGTGGACAGGTGGGGACGTACCTGAGGAGAGGTCACCAGCTCAGGAGTAAGACGTCTCACCACTAGGACTTCAGAGAGAGAGAAGGGTGAGTAACACTAGGACGTAACAGGAGAACTTCCCATGCGGGAAGAAGACGTGACTCAGGAGACTGACTCCTCTGAGGGCTAAGGAAGTCCGGACGAGGCCAGAGGGAACTTCAGGACATCAGATGAGGAACCAGGCCGGCCTCAGACCCGTCAGCAAGGGTTCAGAGGACACTGGGGCAGTCGAGTCTTCAGGGGTGAAACGCAGAGTGGAGACCATACTCGCTCCTCTCCTGGGAACCAAGACCAACAAAGAAAAGGAGTAGAAACACACTCCACCCCCAGCAAAGCTAGGAGACCACGTGGACAGGAGAGCTGGGGGGGGACACCCTGAGAGGCTGCAGGTCACAAAGCTTCAGACTGTGTCACACCCAGGGGGAGAGCAGAGTGTGGGTCCCGGCCTCAGCTGGCATGGAAAAGAATGGATGGAGCCACCAAACAGGACCTCGCACTGTGCAGGTCCTCATGCCGCCTGGGGCCGAGGTGGTCTCCCACGTGCAGCCCTGCCTCCGGAGCTATGCCTGGCAGACCCTGGCCCCGACAGAACCCCCTCCCCGAGGCAGACCCTGGCCCCTGACGGAGCCTCCCGTAAACAGCTGGTCCCGGGAGGACTCGCCACGCTGGAGGTGAGGTACGAACAGAAGGCAACCAGAGCCGAGTCTCAACAAAGACAGAGCGAGAATGAAACATAAAATGAAGGGACAGGAGCAAGGAAAACACAGCAGAAGGAGCAGAAGACAGAGCCACGAAGGAAGTGAAAACTGAGCAGACTCACCTCCTGGAACAAAACCGTCACCCTGCATGCGAGGAACAGCACGTCCAAGATGCACAGTGAAAGGGGCCCCTCAAATCCAGCGTCTCCACCGCGGGAGGCAGTGCTAGCTCCAAGAGCAGGGTTTGCACAGTCTCACACATTTTGTAAGCTTACGCCATTAAATTTTTAATAAAGCTTCTGTTTAACTACCAGTGGGCAAAACTCCTGAAAGCACAGTGTGATCCCACGAGCCGGTGCCTCCTGGACCCCCGGGGCCCGGTCGGTCGCTGCTGAGGGTCCTGAAATCAGTCTCAAAATTGCAAATGAAGCTAGAACAGCCAGCGCCGTTTTAGAACACGCTGGGTCTAGCCAGGGCTGGTGTTTGTGTAAGGGACTTGGGTCATGACCTGAAGTGCAGTTATTTTGTGGGTCCTTCAACAAGAAGTTTGAACCCCTCTGGGACCCCTTTCTGGGTGATGACGGTCTGCGAATGGCCGTCAGGGGCCGCACGGCCGTTGACACAGCCAAACGCTCCAAGGGGAGACAGCGCTCAGTTTCCTGCTTCCTGAGGGAAGTGCAGAGGAAGGGGGCTTGAGAGGCAGAAAGCTTCTGAAAAGGGGGCCCCCGGGAAGAGAGGGGCGGCAGGGCTGGCCTTTCCCGGGCTCCGAGCGCCCGGGCCGGTCTGCCTTCAGGTGTGCAAGGCGGCGGGGGAGACACGCTCATGACAGCAAGGACAGTCCTCGCAGGATGAGGTGGGGCGACGCCCTTCCTGGGGCATCTCAGGTTCTCCACAGGAGAGGATGTGGGCCACCTGGGGCTGTGGCAAGAACCATAGGAGGGATCTGTGAGCCAGCATCTACCACCATCTTGTCCTTTAAAGAAATTATCTTGAGGTGACTGTAGATCACATGCAATCACAAGGAGCAAGACTGTGCAGCTCCCCGTTTCTCCCAGCACTGAGGTGGTGCATGACTGTAGAGATCACAAAACTGCAGAGACCCAGCCCCTTCCCCACCCCTGGTCGCACCAGTGTCACACGCACTCGTACACGAGCATGTCTGGATCTGTGCCGTCCTGTCACACGTGCAGACACGTGTGGCCGCCACCACCACCAGGACACAGGACACTTCCACCCCTAGGGCCCCTCCTGCTGCCTTGTTACAGCCACTGCCTCCCCATCCTCGACCTCTGACAACCACTGTCCGTTCTTTGTCTCTACAATTTGCCGTTTTAAGAGTGTCATGCAGATAAAACCCTGCGGTGGGTGCGACACCCTCTCCTCCTGCCCGGGGTCCGCAGCGCACCTGTGTCGGAACTTCTTCCTGCCGAGCAGCTTGTTTGCCCTCTGCCTGTGGAAGGATGGGTGGAGTGCTGCTTCTGGTTTGGGGCTGTCGGTAAACACGTGGTTTCATGTGTGTAACGCCTTTTTCTTTCTCTTATTCTTTTTTTAAATTGAAGTATAGTCAGTTTACAATGTTGTGTTCATTTCTGGCGTACAACATCATGTTTCAGTCACACATGTACATATGTATAGTCCTTTTCATATTCTTTTCCATTTAGATTATTATGAGATACTGAGTATAGTTCCCTGTGCTCTACAGTATAAAATTGTTGTTTATCTATTTTATATATAGTAGTTAGTATCTGCAAATCTCGAACTCCCCATTTATCCCTTCCCATCCCTCTTCCCCCCGATAACCATAAGTTTGTTTTCTGTGTCTACGAGTATGTGTCTGTTTTGTAAATAAGTTCCTTTGTGTTTTATTTTTTCAGATTCCACATATGAGTGGTATCATATGGTATTTTTCTTTCTCTTTCTGGCTTACTTCACTTAGAATGCTGATCTCCAGGTCCATCCATGTTGCTGCAAATGGCATTATTCTATTCTTTTTACGGCCAAATTAGTATTCCATTGTATAAATACACCACAACTTCTTTATCTCGTCCTCTGTAGGCTCACATTTAGGTTGTGGAACATCTTTCAAAGGAGATTTTCTCCCTCTAGAGGGGAGAAGGGGCCTGGAGTGGACATGGGCCTACTGTTACCTCGGATGAGCAGAAGCCCCTCCTGCACTGCTGCAAGCTCACCCCGCAGGGGAGGATAGACTCGTGGAGCTTGGGAGGGGTGGAGGCCTGGAGGGAGCGGCAGGGACTGTACCCTGAGACCCCAGGGCCAGAGTGGTGCCTGGCTTCACCGACTCCCCCAGCCCTGGTGCTGGTGTTGCTGGAGAGCCGGCATCTACCGGGTGCTGCGGGTGAGAGGAAAGGGCTCCACCCTTGCCCTGGGGAGTCATGAAACCACCGGGAACTGACTGTTGTTAATTTGCCTAATGAGCCTGATTGCTGAACACAACACACCAACTCTGGGCCCCACAACACCCAGTGGGCAGGCACTGCTGTTTTCCTGTTTTGCAGACAGAGAAATCTAGACTTAATCTGGGGAGAAGAGTTATGTTCACACCAAACCATCTGGAAGGAATGGAAAGTAATAAGCCATGTGTCAGAGGCCAGACAGGTAACAAAAGCCAGTCATTTTCACACTCACAGTTAATCAGTGTGTGTGCAGGCCACAGACACTGTGCTGCTCCTAAGCCCGACCTGGTCTCTCTGCCGCCCTGGGGTCACCGGGCCTCCCTGCAGCACAGTCTGGCAGGTTTCCTCCCCTGCCAGCTGCCCCCACCCGCTCCCTTTGGTGCCACCCACCTGCTAGGAGTCAGAGCCACGCAGTCGTCGTGAAGGGGCGAGGTGGTGCTGGCCTGGCCGGGTGTCCCGAGGCGGCTCCTCGACTCCCAGGCCCAGCACCACCTCAGAAATGCTGCCACTGTGTCTAGACCTTCGAGACCGAGTCCACTCCCAGGGCTTTCTCCTCGTCCATTCCAAGGTGAACTGCGGGTGGGGGAGCCGCAGAGGTCCTCAGCGTGGCATCTTCGGAGGTGCACCAGCCCCAAGAGTCCCATCTTCCCACGGTGGATGCAGGCCAGGTGCTCAGTAAAGGTCGTGCTAAGAAAGTGAATTCCCAAACAGGGTAAATACTCAAACAAACCCTAGGGCCCCTGTGTAAGACCATCTGTAAACACTAAGGAAACCTTGAAGGAAATACAATATAGTGGTGGGCAGTCTGGTATCATTTTTGCCCCTTTCAAGTTTCTTCACTATTATGTTGCTTCTCTAGAACTACTGTTTCACAAAAGCAGCAGCTCCACTGGCCCTTGATAAAATCTGTTTGGCTTGGTTTGAACGATTTGAAGAGCAGTTTGGGACGGTCACTGCATTCATCACTGGGTCTCCAGAGCCCAGCTCCCTGCACAGGAAGCATCTGTGGTCAAAGGCCAAGTTTCCTGAGTCCTGGGTTTTCTCCTCTGGAGCCTGTGTTGTGGTTCTGCTGTGAGGGTGCGCTGACAGCAAATCCCCATCCCAAATGATGAATCAGGTGCCCCTCCTGTTGACTCCTCTGGGATGCTTTGATGGAGATCTTAGAAGAAAAGCACATGTCATCTGGCCGCGGCTAAGAAGACTGGATATGGAGCCCAGTTAATTGCTGTTTCAGAAGTGTCTTCAAAAAGCTCCTTGATATTTGGCTAATCCTGGTCAAAAACAACAAGTTAAACTTTATCATGATAAAAACATAGACATTTTGGGTGAACATGCTTCACAATAAGCAATCGAGGCGTCACAAATCTACCTAACGGTACATTCACCATATGTCTGAGGTTATATTCAACTATTAACTCAAACTGACAGATGTATTGATATCAACGAACAGCAGACAAACCGTTGAGGGTTTCTACCAGCGAGCAGAGGCCAGGCTTGGGCTGGGGCACCGACCCCACTGGGTTGAGCTGGGACCCCCTTTCCACAGCAGCACAGAACCGCCGGGCTTCGAGCGTCCAGCAAACCTCAGCGCAGATGCCTCTCTCTTCCGCTTTTCTCCTCGATGTGACCCAAACAATGAACACTGGAGAGAGACTATTCAAGGGTGTCACTACTCCTTTCTCTGGATTCTCCTATCAGGTCACGAGAGCTATGTCACCTGGCTCCTACAGGGTCACTGATTTACCTGAGCGTCCAGCCGCTCTGGCGCAGTGCTGTCTCAGGATTAGGTCTCACTCTGACCTGTAGATGTTGTTGGCTCTCTAGCTGCAGGTACCAAGGAGCCCTCCTTATTGTCACACTTTGCTTTAAATGGTGATCTTTTCTTTGCCTTGCCCTCAGCAAAAGCCACCTGATTCCATAGTCCAGGTAATTCGTGCTTTTCCCAACTGCTCCGGTGTCTGACACACGGCCACCCACTCTGTTTCCTGCCCCCTACCTACCAGTTCTGCTCCAGCTCAGCACTGCTCAGCCGGGAGGGGCTGCTGCGCCACCATTTGGCAGCCAGCTCTCAAACCCCACCCCAGAGGCAGCTCCCCGATCACCTGGCCCCTCCTGTCTTATGCTGGGTCCCTCTGGAAACAGCTTCTGGAGCTGCAATCTGTGTGTGGGAGTTTATTGCATGTATTCTCAGAAGGAAAATCAGTGCACAGGTGAGGGGATGGGTTGGGCAGAGAAGCAGCCTGACAGCAGTGCAGCTGCTACTGGGGCTCCAGCCAGTGCTCCAAGCTCAGGAGCTGGGGCTGCTGTTCAGTTATCCTGATGCAGGCACAGCCTTGGGCTCCTTGTAAGGAGGGTTGGCTCTGGAGGACACAATTGGCACTCCCTTCAGAAGTCTCTAAGGTTGGCAGTCAGAGACAGCCACACTGGGGGTGGGCCATGGGGAAACTGCTTTCCTAACCTCCGTGTTGGACCACTGGCAAACACCTAGTATGAAGATCTTGAAAAGAGAAACTCAAGCAGGTGATTGTGGATCTGAAAGGAGGCTCAAGCAGTCAGGGTAAAGAATGGTCATCCAGTTTTTTCAGCGTGCACTTAAGCACTCTTTTAGGAAGTGAGGGAAAGCAGGGACCAAAAAAGGCCTCGCTGTTTAAGAAGCGTGTGTTCTGGTCTATGAAGGTGTGGTGTCGTGCGCTGTGAAGACAGAGGAGAGGGAAGTGGACAGGAAGTCAGGAGACACAGAAAATGAGGTGAGGAGGGTGGCCTGGGGGTCGCAAGGGCAGACAGGAGTGCACTTGGCTTGTGCGAGGTTGTGAAGCCAGAGTGGCCCTAGGCCAGGGGACAGCAGAGGGCAGGAGGGGGTGGCAGGGATGGGGAGCTGTGGAGCCTAATCAGGGTCTCACCGGCCCCGTGCTCCTCCAGACCCCAGGTCACCCCTGCAGTTGGTCAGCTGCAGACCTAGTCTGAGGGGGCTGAGTTGGGCCAGGGAATTCTTTTCTTTTGATGCCTTTAGATTTGAATTTCTTAAAATCATGTGCATGCCTCTCTTGTCCCGCACCCCCGCCCTGGTGCTGGGCTCCCGCCTGGTCCCTTCAGCACCCCTCATCCCGTTCGCTCCCCGCCACCTCCCCCTCACCCCAGCCTGGTCTTTCCCCAGCTACCCCTACCTGATCCCCTCCCGGCGCCCTCCACGCGGTCACAAGCCTCGCCCAGGCCCCCCAGCCCGCCTCGCCGGATCATCCCAGAGGGCGAGCCATCCTGGCGGTGTCCCTTTATCCCATGTCTGAGACAGACCTCGCCCCTCTGCGGGCCTCGGCCAATGGGAATCTGGGGTTGGGATGAGGGCAGAGCCGTCTCGCTCCCGGTCCTCGCCCTCAGCCAATGCACAGTTCGGGTCTCGCTATGGGCGGACCCACCACGTCCCCGCCCCTCTGCGGGCCTCGGGCAGCGGAGGCGAGGGCGAGGGGCGGTGGGGCGGGAGGCCGTCCCCGCCCCCCCGCC